AACATTTCTTGTTGCTTTTAAGGCTTTTTTCCAGCTTACATTTATTAGCCTGTGTGACATAGTACTCAGGGTAAGAGAGAAATAAAGGCAATAATCGTTATCATAAATGATCAATTAAATGTTTATAGGTTTCAACCTCATTAAACAGCTAATTAACCTTTCTGATAACTTGTTTATTTTTGAATAATAGCTTTAAAAAAAGGAAATCGATAGCAACGTCTATAAAGAATGACGTATAAAGAATATAGAGAATGAAGTGGATTGATTTCAGATTAATAATCATTTGAAGAAATAGTTGGTACTTTTCATTAAGTTAAAAACATATACTTAAAAATTTTATTTTGATTGAAAATATCTTCACAGGTGTGTGTGTTAGTTATTTGTCACATTGCTTCAATAATGCAAAATTGTTAGGACTGATTCAAAAAATTTAAGAGTGTACACAAAGGCCTTTATATGAACTGAAGCAAATAGATGTAAACTTAAATTTTTCACCGTTTTTTTTAACCAGGGTCCTCCCACTATTATTATCTGCTCTGATATGGTTCGGACAGTCCACCTTCTAACAGCATCACTTAAATTCCATACTCAGTTGGAAGGCTAACTTGGCTGAAAGAACCTATAAAGCTACTTGTGCTATTTAATGCTGTAGAAGAGCTATAGGTCGCATTTAGGGCTTCCAACTTCGACGGCTGTAAAATAGACAAACGAGGTATATTCTTCAAAAACTGGGTCTTAGTTTTTTACTTCGACTACCAAACTACTGCAGTGTATTTCAGGCAGAAGTAATAGGAATCCATTATGCAGTAAAATTATTTTTTTATAATCAAATCCCTGATGAAACTATTTTAATATTAAAAAATGTACTATTTCTTTTCTTGTAGGGCAGACGAGTTTGCTAACACATTTTTCAATTAAACAAAAATCTTACTGTCGAATCTCTTGGTCTTCCCTATTATGACTTTTGTCTCAGCTGTGGCTCTGAGAATGAATCTCATGTGTTCGTATTCATCTTTAGCTAGGAGAAAATTAAAAATCTTCGGGGCTCCTTTTCTTACTGACCTAACCGAGCTGTCATCTTGGACTCAGCCAAATTCACAGAATTGTCGGGTTGGTTTACCTTTACCTAATGGGAAAGTTGTTGCTTTTTTTTGCGTTGGTCGTATACTGACCTTTTAGTTCAACATTTGGGCTTTCTTGGATACAAGGCTGCCACTCCAACCTAACCTAACCTTTTTAACTAGGCATGTTTCTGTGAATTTTCAACCTTTAAAGGTAAAATTAGAACTCTGTACTAGGTTTCAAAAACGATCGGTTCTATTTTGACTGATCATATTCGACGACAAAGTGCCATTTCCCATCTATAAAGGGGCCCACTCAAGCAGATCCTCACAGGATATAACAACTACAATAACAAGAAGA